TAGATTTCTTCCTGACCGTTTAAATTTTGTTTTCACCGTTTAGATTTCTTCCTAACCGTCTAGATTTCTTCCTGACCGTTTAAATTTTGTTTTCACCGTTTAGATTTCTTTCTAACCGTCTAGATTTCTTCCTGACCGTGTAAATTTTGTTTTCACCGTTTAGATTTCTTCCTAACCGTCTAGATTTCTTCCTGACCGTTTAAATTTTGTTTTCACCGTTTAGATTTCTTCCTAACGGTCTAGATTTCTTCCTGACCGTTTAAATTTTGTTTTCACCGTTTAGATTTCTTCCTAACCGTCTAGATTTCTTCCTGACCCTTTAAGGTTTGTTTTCACCGTTTAGATGTCTTCCTAACCGTCTAGATTTCTTCCTGACCGTTTAAATTTTGTTTTCACCGTTTAGATTTCTTCCTAACCGTTTAGATTTATTACTGACGGTTTAAATTTTGTTTTCACCGTTTAGATTTTTTCCTAACCGTCTAGATTTCTTCCTGACCGTTTAAATTTTGTTTTCACCGTTTAGATTTCTTCCTAACCGTCTAGATTTCTTCCTGACCGTTTAAATTTTGTTTTCACCGTTTAGATTTCTTCCTAACCGTCTAGATTTCCTCCTGACCGTTTAAACTTTGTTTTCACCGTTTAGATTTCTTCCTGACCGTTTAGATTTCTTCCTGATCGTTTAGATTTCTTACTGACCGATTAGATTTGTTCCTGACCGTTTATATTTCTTCCTGACCGTTTAGATTTCTTCCTGACCCTTTGGATATCTTCCTGACCGTCTAGATTTCTTCCTGACCGTTTACATTTGTTCGTGAACGTTTATATATCATCCTGACCAGGAAGGAATCTAAATGTGTTCAGATTCCTAATATGTAGGAATATGTATGTATTTTGTGTTGTAATGTGTAGATTGCATTGTGTGGTCGGTCTGCATTAAAGAAGCAGATTGAACGCAATTTACATCGGTTTTACAGTAGATCCAAGCAAATGAATGTTTGTCTGTATGGAACAGTGGAAGTGATGGCAGGTATGTGACGCTGCATCACTGTCACATCTTGTAAACTCATCTTATGTAGATTGAGTTGTCCAGTTTTGTAGTTTGCTGAACAGGCAGAAAATGTAGTATTTAATGTATGCATGCATTTGTTCCAATGTTGAACAAACAATTGTGTTTATGTACATTAACTTATTTTTAGTCTGAAAATGAAAGTAAGATTTAGCATACACGGGTGCTTGTCGGTCCGTCCTGCAGTATAAAGCCAGCCACAGACCAAACCCGAAATAACATCCAATACTTGTCAGAGCCTTACAACCTCTGCACAAGACTGTTGCGCATATCTCAACTTGCCTCAAAATGAGAAAGTGTAATTGCGAATTAAACTATGTATCACATTACCCCAAGAAATAATTAAGTAGCTAATACAAGAACACAGTATGTGTTTATTTTAACCACAGTAAATAAATCTCAACGTTGCTATTATTACAAATATTAACCTCTCTGTGTCCATTGTAATAATTCCCAAAACTCCACCACCATCATTTAAACTTACACAAAAACACCCATGACTAGTTTCTCATGAACAAAAACAAAATGTTAATAAATTTATAAATTTTCTAAATCTAAATTTTAATTTCTCCTCATTTTCAGAAATGTTGCTGGACAACCTTAAACTATCTCCGTTAACCTTTTAAAAACGGATTCCACCAATAAGGTGGAGGGCGATTTCGATCTCTTGGCGACGGACTACACCAATAAGGTGTAGGCCAAATTTTTCGCCTTAGCGACGGACTACACCAATAAGGTGTAGGCCAACTTTTTCTCGTTGGCGACGGATTCCACCAATAAGGTGTATGGTTACAGAATTCCGTTGAGACCGGGCTACATCAATAAGGTGTAGGAAAAAATAAAAATAAAATGACCGAGAAAATTTTCTCAGTTCCATTCTTTCCTCCTTATTTGTCGTTGGTTTTTCTTCAAGATTGAACTAATTTTTTTAGAGTTTAGAGTTGTAGTTGTAGTGGGGGGAGGAACTCGGAGGAAGTGCATCAGAGGTCACGCCGCGCCCCCGAAAAATTATCCAACATTGGCGCCGCTAATAAATTGGTCGGCGTTGACCTCTGACCTGTATCATGTTGTAAATATGATACAGTTCATATTTTTTTTAATTATCACAACGTTCTCTTTAGCTAATATATTCGCAATAGTGTCACCACCGATCGGAACAAGTCACAGAACACTGAAGGACAAAATTATAGCTAATAACTTGTTTAAAATATAAAATGCATCCCAAAATCAGTGTCATCAAATTGATGACATGAATGATGACGATTTATTCGTTTAGTTTATTTTTGTAGTACTATCAAAATCAAATCCGATCTTTTTATCAAAATTAATATCGTGTGTTCATTTGGTTCAGTTGCAATTTCATGTTAAAAATGTATTATGTTGTAATTTTTGTTGTCGAATCAGTTCCAGGTCTCTAATAAATCATAACTGCATCAGTAGAATATTCAAAATCGGTTTGCATTAATTCAGTCCCCAACTGATTTTATCACCGCCCCACAAGTCGGTCTCAATGGTATTCTGCCCCCCAGTAAATCCGCCCCCAAATGCAATAGAAACCATTTTTAATTCCGTTTTTAAATGGTATCCAGGTCAAAATTAATTAGTTTTTATAAGGTTAAATAAGTTATTTTTGAAGTAATTACATATGGATATTCATGTAAAATATGTAAGTCGTTCACGACAAAGTTGCTTACAATGCAAGTTTTTTACGTGTACAACTCAGATCTGGTTGGGACCAATTTTATTTTGTTCACCACGAAAAATAAGCATACCTGTATTTTTTCATTTTTCATAATGCGCTAATTTGAGCGCGAGGCGCGAATTTTGAAATATTTTTCAGCCAAAACCTCGGTTTTTAAAAATTCTCTAAATTCTCGAATTTTAGCGCGAATCCAAAAATTCGAAAACATGTCTCTTCAGAATGATTTACTAGACTTATGAAAAATCCAATTATCTCGAAATTTGAATTTCGAATTTTATAAGTCAAGTAAATCAATCTGAAGAGACATGTTTTCGAATTTTTGGATTCGCGCTAAAATTCGAAAATTTACAGAATTTTTAAAAACCGAGGTTTTGGCTAAAAAATGTTTCAAAATTCGCTCCTCGCGCTGAAATTAGCGCATTATGAAAAATGAAAAAATACGGGTATGCTTATTTTTTGTGGTGAACAAAATAAAATTGGTCCCAACCAGATCTGAGTTGTACACGTAAAAGACTTGCATTGTTAGAGGTGTTGCGAAGCGAGGTTTTTAAATCACGTGAATTGTTTCTATGGGTAGGTTCCCCATCCCCATACGGGTGGGACAAATGAATTTTTTTATTATTTTATTGCTAAATCTTTGGGCCCGAAGTCCCTTTCCGGCCCAACCAGTTTATGAAAAACGTAAACATACTGATATGCTTATTTTTTGTTCCTAACAAACTAAAATTGATCCTATGCAGATCTGAGTTTTACGCGTGAAAGACTTGCATTGTAACAATTCAATTTATATTCGACCCGGTGCGGTGGGACTCGTGGGACTTGCTAGTAAATTTTTGGCCCAAACCAGGGAGCTCGTCAGCCCCGTAAACCCAGCTGACGAGAGCCAGGCCCACTTGGGCAACTTATTCGTGATTGGCTGTTGGTACACATTGTGAGATATGTAGTGGGCAGCGGCTTTTGTATCTCACAATGTATGCCAACAGCCAATCACGAATAAGTTGCCCAAGTGGGCCTGGCTCTCGTCAGCTGAGTTTACGGGGCTGGAGCTCATGCTCGAACGCGTCAGACGGACATGACGGGTACATAAGCCCTGACTCGGGCTAAAAATTCGAGGAAAATATGCTCACGATGACTTCACCATTTTACTTGAGAATTTTCTTGGATAGTTTGACAAGTTATTACAAGTGGGTTGAAATTTTATCCCACTCCTACACCTAAAATAAAGTTCAATTTATTTGAGAACGACTGATTAAAAAATATTGAAATAAATGTATTAGAAGTGATTCATTCTAAACCCTATTTCTTTATTTTGTATTGCACATCTTCGAAAAGCATATTCAATCAAGCCTCAAATTAAAATTAAAGTTCTGCAGGACCTCATATGGATAAATGCAGTATGATCCTGTATGAAATGCCAACTGGAACCCTTAAAGAGAGGCATACTGGAATATGTGTGCATGTCATCTCCAATATGACAAATCTATTGGAGCCAGAGCCAGTAAGACTATATCATATAGTCTATACGGGATTCTACTTGTGATAAAAATTCATTCTGTTATCTTGCACGGGAAAACCAAATAAAACCCATTAACTAATAGTTAGGTTATTTTTATTACCCCTGGGTTTTTCCGAGCCCTGTATCTGGGGCTAAAATCCAAAACTCGATTTCACAGACCCTGTTAAAATTACCCCAATGCCCCCATACCCGGTGGCTATTTATAACTACACTAGGGCTATAAATAGAGTATAAATAGAGTATGTATATTAGTTTGTCTATAATATTTGATGAACTAATTAAAATTCCGAAATGGCGAAACAAAATATATTGTGGACCGTCAGATTGCAACCATTTTTACGGTTGTTTACGGGATTCATTCCTTGATTAGATGCACTCTTAATTTATGAACTACATATTTTTTGCTATTGTTAGCAATGCTCCCATTTCCCATCAATCCACCCTCACGGTACAACAATGTCCCAATTATTTTGCTCGCACATTCAATCATGAGTGTCACCATAATAATGACAACAATCGACTCCATTCTCAGTCAGACCAGCGAATACCGGTATGCACGCAATCCAAGTGTTGTAGCAAAAATAATGAAAGTGAAACCAAATCTGCTTTGACGCGAATCTCACCGTCCTTGACTCCTCTCGTTGCCCTCCCATTGTGGTCAGTCACACACTCGAAGCACATTCTCGTAACCAGTACTCGTGGTGACGCTGTTGTGAAGAGAACCTGTTTTCATAATAAAAATAATTGGTAAAAGTGGCCGAACTGACTGACTCGACTCCAGACCAGATTGGACGCAGTACGAAATAATACGCTGCGTGGTTTGGTTGTGGTTTGCCCTACCCAGTTTCACACATCATCTGTGATTTCAAGATGAAATTGGTTATCTTACCCATTGTGGCAGTTCTGTTCTTATCAGGGAGCGGAAATGGACAAGAAGGCGGGAACGTGACCTCCAGCACTACAGTGGTCACGACGAGCACCACCACCACGACGGCACAGCAGATTCCACAAGCTGTCGCCTCCACTCCGGCGACACCCGTGGTAAAACTGGGACCAGTTGTGACCACCAAGTCTGGTCAGTTGAGACCGCTCGTCCTTACGTCGAGACAGGGTCGAGAATATTATGCCTTCCAAGGCGTTCCCTTTGCCAATCCGCCTGTACAATTTCAGCGGTTTAAGGTCAGTATTTTATTCACACCATGAGTCATAATTTATGACGTCAAGGTGACCTTGTTGACCTCAATGTGTGACTGCTAGGTTCCTGCCCCTGTGACTCCGTGGGAAGGAGTTCTCAACGCGACGAAATTTGCCCCACCCTGCGTCCAGTATAACGTTCTGATCGATGAAATTGAGGGTGATGAGGACTGCTTGTATCTCAACATTTTCACGCCAAAGGTAAATATACAAAATGTGTATCCTCATTGTACAACAGTGCTCATCATGTCGACATTTGGATACTTTTAGCTGCAAGATAAATCCAATCCAGGGGAAAATAAGTTTCCCGTTATGGTCTTCATTCATCAAGGTGAGTACAAACTTCCCGTTTTGCAAAAGAAAAAAACTAAAAATCTATGTTTTTTTATTCCAGGAGCTTTCATGTTCGGAAGTGCGCAAGACTACGAGGCGAAATACATGATGGACAGCGACGTCATTTTGATAACGCTGGCTTATCGGTTGGGCTCTTTTGGTGAGTTAGATATTAATAATACATTTTTGCATAGAATTGGTGCAGTAACTTATTACAATTTTTTTCGCAGGATTTCTGAACACGGAGGGTGGCTCGGATGCGAATGGCACTTAAAAAATAAACCTTATCAAATTGAGAGGGTGAAATTAAATTTCCTAAAAAATGAATATTTGTACGTAGGAAACATGGGTTTGAAAGATCAACTTATCGCTCTGCAATGGATCCAAGATAACATCGAGGTGTTCAACGGGGAGAAAAGTTTGGTGACGATTATGGGCGAAAGTGCGGGAGCAGCCTCCGTCCATTACCACATCCTATCCGAGAAGAGCAAAGGTACACCTTCTACAAGCCTTATCAGTCGTCTTATCAGGGTTATTTAAGTTAATTGACTTGTCCTCAGGTCTATTTTCTCGCGGAATATCCATGTCCGGAACGGCCCTGTCGCCCTGGGCGTTCACTCGCAACCCGCGTGCCAACGCCATCAAACTCGCGACCATGCTCAACTGCCCCACTTCCGTCATGTACGAACTCTTCATTTGTCTCCAGGACGTCAACGCGACGACTTTGGCGCAAAAGCACAAGGACTTTTTCGAATGGGGGACGGACCCGATTGCCCCTTTCGCACCCTCCGTCGAGGTCAGTGTCGAGAAAGAGGGCGTTTTCATCGACGAGTCGCCATACGCTCTCATGAAAAAAGGACAGATTAATGATGCTCCCTGGATGGTCGGAGTTGTGGAAGGCGTCTGCTTACTGGATGCGTGGAGTGAGACATTTTTAATACTTGTTGGCTTGTAAAAACATGCAACATGCTGCAAATAACGGGAATTTCGTAAAACAAATGAATTTCTACCGAATCGTTTCTGTTCAACAAATTCAAATGAAGCCCGAATTTTCCTAAATCTCCTTGTTTGCTGGACAAACGTAAAAAGAAACAATTCGAAGTCATTGCTCAAATTATGAATTATTGGCTTATGTATTAATTTACTAAAGTGTGCTCCCAGGTGTACTAGCGGATAAGCAACTTATCGCTGAAATGAATGTTGATTGGCATCGTATAGCGCCGCTGGTAAGTACTTATTTATCTAGAATGATGTAAATATATACATTATCCAAACCTATGTAGAAAAATTGGCCAATTTTTTTGCAAGTTTTTAATACGGGTATGTTTATTAATGTGCATTCAAGGCGTATACTTATCGGGACACGGCTCTGGAACCGGACGCAGTCTCCAATCAGATTCGTGCCTTTTACTTTGGTTCGAAAGCCATTGGAAATGAGACAGCGACGAATTTGACCAACTTGTATTCTGATCGATTGTAATTTTCAAATTTTTTCAGAACAATGTTTACACAAATATTATTATAAATAATAACGAATATTAATAATATATTTATAATTATTCATTTATTATTTATTTTATTTCCAATTTTTTTTGTCAGATTTAATCACGGGATGAGGTCGGCCCTCCTGCTGCACGGGAAGAATAACGAGGCGGTCCCACTCTACCTCTACACCGTCGCCTATCAAGGGGCACAGAGTCACTTGAAGTTTCTCCACATTGAGGAGAAATTGGGTATAAATTCCTAACAATTGTCAAGAGATGATAAGAGGACGCTTATCGGGACTTGTTCATTTCTTTGCAGGGGTTTCCGAAGGGGACGAGCTCCAATATTTGTTCAATATGGGACGATTCTCGGAAATTGGGAAGGGTCATCCAGACCAAGACTTTTCGGATAAGATGATCAAACTCTTTGTATCTTTCGCACGAGAAGGGTAAGTTTCCTTCTTTAGAAATTCATACGTACGTCGATACTAATTCCATTCATCAAAATTATGTATGAAAATCGACTTGGTGAAAATTGGCCCTGTAGGAGCGACAAAACAGATTTCTGCACAATTTATCTGTAAAGTATTTTTTAAATGTGCAGGATTTTTTATGCGGCAGATAATTTTCTGAAATGAAAATTTCTGAAGATGTTTTTTGAAGACAAATGAGTCAGTTTTCGGTTACTCGAGTTTCATACGAGAAACACACGCAGTAGTTCACATCTTTCGAAAATGCGTCTAAATTTGAATGTGATTGGTGACCTGTCAAAAAAATGTATTTTATGCATTTGCTATTTTTTGAGATATATTAAATAAATCCCGTCTTATCATTCACAAATCAGGAAGCCGACGGGAACTTGGAGCCCTACCGAGTGGACGCAAATGTCCCTGCAACAAGTCTCAGGAGACGAAGCTCTCATGTTTTACCAGCTCGATAAGACAGCTTCCTTCATTGCGGAACCCTTCGCGGACAGGATGTCCTTCTGGGACAACTTGCCCCTGAACGAGCTAGGCAACGAGGTCTCCTCCCCCCAAAGACGAAGTGACCTCTCAGCCAGCGGACTCAGCATGGCTGACCTCATGAAATAATCAACACCTCAATCAATTTTTACCCCTCCATTTAATTTATTGTTACACATTTATGAATACGATCCACATAATAATTTACATAGTTCGCGGAAAAATAGGACTAAAAACTAACGAAAAATCCTGCTAAAAATTTTTGTGCAGTTACAAATTAAATTATTATAAAAAACTGGTTCCCATCTTTTGTGTAAATAAAATAATTAAAAATTACGTAATAATGTCGTTTTGTTTTGTTACTTGTTTCTTCGGTATTTTGCTCATCTGGTACATAATTAACTAAATTAATTGTTTTGTGACATGACAAATATTCCAGAATTTCGTTTCTTAAAATGGTAAATAGTTTTTTGTGTACAGTAGTTTTGATTGACAAAAAATCAACAACTTTTACAACATAGATACATAAAAAAGTGTGCATCTCAGAGAGAGAGAGTTATACAATTCTGAATTTTTGGTACGCATTTCTATCTTTTCAAAAGACCAGAAGAAGAGGAGCACTTTATGTATTAGGTTGTTGTGCTTATACTTTGTAACTTGCGCCACAGTTTTTAACGCAACTTTTGGCGCAAGTTCAAGTATAAACGCACGCACATCATCCAAATTTTGTTTTTGTTTTCGCACAATTTTTTTGTAAGTTCAGCTTTCTTTGGCCAGAATGGTTTCGTTTTCTTCCTTTCTCACATGTTTACCAAATATTTGGACATATTGACAAGACGGCGAAAGTTACGAACAAGGTTTTTTTTGACTTGGCATTTTTTTGCATGCAGAGAGAGAGAGAGAATTAATGGAGAAAGTACAATAACTGTGTTGTTTTAAGATTGATAATTTCGTGTCTTTCTCACGTTTGCTTTTTCCTACTTTTGTGTTATCAGGAAAAAAATCTCTTCTTCTCCGCCTGACTATTTCATTTTTCGAACGACAACAACGGATTTTGTACAGTGGATATAAATTAATTACAGGTAAAGTTTACATATCCTAGTTTGTAATACATCTTTTGTAATAATTCTCTTTCAATATTGCGTCATCTTTTTCAATCCAAGCATTTTTAAAAATCTGTTATCAAGCAGTATTATTGCCCACATTGCTAAAATCAGTTCCATTTCAAAGCCACCAACATTTCGCGAGACATGCAATCCTTAAAATTTACCACGACACGATTTACTTATTTACACTTAATTGATGAGAGTAGAGCAGAATTTAACGTGGAATGAACGACGGTACATTTACAGTTAAATAAATAAATATATATAACAAATCGATCCACGAGATTCTTCACCTCCATTGACGAGTTCAGTCAGAATTACATAAAGGACGACATATATCCATGCAAGCGAGTGAGCACACTTGTACATATTTAAATAAATCTAGCACATGTTCGGTACGAGACAGGAAATTCAACGATTAAAATGACGACGACGACGACCACGATAGGAGCGGGTTCGGGTTGTCTTCTTAATAATTAATCTCATCACGGCGTATGCTTCGATGGATGAGGAGAGAAACTTGTCAAGTGTTTTTTCTGGTTGAGTTGAGTTGAGTCGTAGCATTACATTTTCAAGGATTAAACTCGTCCCATTCTCGTCTTGTCCTCGCAGAAGAGAATGAGGAAAGTTGAATAAAGAACGTTCAAGTTTTCGGGGGAAACGTTGTCATTCAGAGAGTTTGAGTGTATGATAAGACAGGGAGAGATAGAGAGAGAAATAAGTGTGCCACAGAAATTGTGTGGCACAATAGCATACTATTTCAGAAGGATGAGGAGAAGAAGGGAGAAAGTAGACAGTAGAACTTTTCTCTTCTTGGGCATCCTGAGACTTTCTCACTCTTCTGTTTTTCCATCTTCTCCATTCCTGCTCGGGTCACCTCCGGTGTTATCTGGTACGAATGCCTCTGTGGATGAGGAGGCGACATCTCCTCCTGAAGAGTGCGGCGATGAGGGTGAGGAAGGACCCGTATCACCCGTTTCCATCATCGGTCTCCTCCCGGACTTCTTGACACTGCGACGGTTGTTCCAAGACTTCTTTCCACCCTTCTGTATACACAAAAGACTTGGATAAGAAATAATTCTTATCTAATCTACGCGTATGAACATGTGCAACCACGTGTCATATTTACCTTCCCGAGGAGAAACCCCTTCCCACCGCTGCTACTGCTACCCGACCCACCGCCTCCGTTGGCTTGATGTTCACACAATTTGTCCCAAGCCTTCAACGAGAACTCCAACTCCTGCGTTTGAAAAATACTCATAACACAATATTTAAGAAAATATGAGGGGAAATCGATTCTCAAAATATCCACCAGACCAGACCACTCACTGGATATGAATGAATGTAAAGTAGCGTAAAGTAAATATCAATATTTGGCAAAGTTCTTGACTCTGACTAGTCGAGTGGGACGCACGAGTGGAGGAGAGACTGCTACCTCCCACCCACAGATTTTGATGCCCTATTGTAGCACTCAACATTTTAGTAAGTTTGAAAATTTTCGAAATTTCCTGAGATTGTCTTGAAGAAAGAGTTTGATAACCAAGTATTTAGGAGTATAAACGGTACAGGTATTTTTAAAATCTGAGCAAAATTAAAATTTTGGTAAACATTATCCTAAAGTGGTTTTATTCCATGCACCCTCAAAGGACGAAAATCACGAAAATCAGTCTTCAAATGTTGCTAAAAATTTTATTTTGTTCCAATTTTGAAAATTCTTGTACCATCCTAAATACTTGATTTTCCATTTCCAGGACCAAACTCTTTATTCAAGACGGCTAGGAATTTCGAGAATATTTCAAATTATAAAAAGTTGGGCCCTGCTGACAACTGACATATTTAGTGAAAGAGTATGAAAATCCGAGCTGGGCAGGAAGAGAGACCCTCCTCAGCCCCGAGTGGAAAAGTAATAAAGAACAAGTTTCCCTGCTCCTTATCCCGTCTCGGTCGTGTCCTTCTCAATGAAGAGAAAGCAATTTGAGGGGAGTGGAGTCACCCAGCCGCGTAATAACCATCAATCTCCCCATATATTTTTGTAACACATCTGCTCCTCACAATCAGACCGATCCATCAAGTTTGCAAGGAGGGAAAGGTATGCAAGTGCTGGAGGCGGAGAAAGTTTTGTTCCACATACCCGATTTCTGCACATCATTTGGACCCGGTTTTTGTGCACGATTTGGATAGCACCGGGCGCCTGGAGCCACGCTTCGCCGTCAACCTATGCATAATAATGGGGAAAAGGTTGTGAAACAAGCTCATTTGAATAATTGGTACATACAAAACTCTATTTACTGATGTATGTACCTGCACTGGGAGGGGATCATCCCCTAAAATCGTTATCTTCACAGAGTGACATTGAGCAATTCGGTGATGTCGGATGTGCACTACGCGAGAAGCTGCCATTTGCATGACGTCATAAACTGCAACCACTTCAAGGATACGGTCATCAAAGGAGGGCGCGAGGAAGGAGGAATCCGCTTCAGATCCGCCCCAAAAATTCGTCCCGCCCATGAAACTGAAGAAACAGAATTTAGCATAAAATGTGCTGCTCCTTTCTTGCGGATGTTTTTTCCTCACCTCTGAATATTCAGGATAACAATGCCTTGCAAACTGGGGAGGAAAATGCGTTGCCCGTCACACTCGAGGATCACTCTCTGTTCCAGATTTCGACAGCTTTTGAGCATAAATTCTCTCCCCCCGAGGATCCCGTACCAGACGAAGTTGCGTATCCGGCTACCACAAAGCTCCGGATGTTCTTCACGTTTCAGGTGGAAAGCAAGCGTGATTTTGGCGTCGATCCCGATACCAAAATAGTTATTCATTACGCACCGCTCTTTAAATCCGCTCCCGAGTTGCTGAAAAAATTACGCCAAAAATTGGTCACCACTCCCAATTCAGGTTCATTTTTTGTGGATTTCGTACCTCTTCCATGTCCATAAGAGGACTTGCCACTGCACAAATGGTGTCCACATTTTGGATGAGTGCCCTCCCAATGAATCCCCCCGAGCCGAGCCCAGCCCCCGCGGAAGAGTGGTCCGACCAGGAGGGCTCAATCAATAGTGGGTTCACAATGGGGAGCGTCTTCTTCTTAAAAGCGGACGCAGACCCAGCCAACTTTCTCCCCTTTTTCCCCGTCTTGTGCGGTGAGGGTGGGGCTGAGGCGGCGGAAGAGGACGACGTTCCCGTAGGAGAACACTCCCCACTGTCCGTCGGTTTGAGGAGAGAGCCGGTCGAGACGCGGCGGGAAGCTCGGGGCGATGCGCCCCTCGGGAGGAGGAGACTTCCGGCTAAAAACATGGATTAATAAGCGATTGCCATGTCACTTAATTTGTTAAGGACAACTCACGTGGCAGTGCAAGACTGCTCCCACTTCCCGAATTGCAGGGTGCCCTACAATCCGGCGAGGGTGACTCGTCCAACGTCATGTTGCTCCCACCTTGCTCCATTCCGAGAGAAATATCCACGTCGAGATCCGTCTCGCTGAGATCATAATCATTTTGTGTTTTGAGTGGGGACGAGGACGTCGAGGGGGACTCGATCTCAATCGTGGGATGCTTATTGAGTAAATGTATCGCAGAAGTTTGTACTCTTCCGGCGCAACCGATGGCTGCAAGCTCTTCTGAAATGTCGTCCTCTTCTTCCTCCTCCCCGTCCAGCAGTCCATCGTCATCCTCGTGCGAGTGGGTGCACGCATATTTGTAGCTGAAAGACCGTCTCGCCGTCCTCTCGGCGGCAGATGAACTCGTGCTGGCAATGTCTTGGTTGGACCATCCGTTTCCGTTTTTGGAACAGTCTTCCAGGGAACGTTGTACGTTAGAGAGATCGATTTTTGACGTGCTTGTCACCGCACCCAAACCTCCGTTGCCTGCTATTCTCACGTGGCGACGGACACCGCCACCGCTGCGACGACGACTCTTCGAACTGCTCTGCATCACGCGAGACAGCGCTTTCTCCAAACTGTTGGCCCGTTCGAGAACGGCGTGATGTTTCTTGTCCGTGGAACTCTGGGAATATTTATGCATATACATCTTACTACTGGGTTTTTACACGTTGCGGCGAATTGCCCGAGATGTAGACAAGTTTTTTAAATGTGTGTTTTAAGTTTGCGAAATTCTAGAGTTTTTGGCAGGAAATCAACGCGAAAATTAAGTCCGTCCGCTCAGAAGTTATTGAAGGCCAAAGTTTCCCAAATACCAATTTGTGTTACACCATCTCATTTAAACTTTGAGCTTTACTAACTTTTGAATAGGCAGAGCATAGGGACTTAATTTTTTTAAATGCTCCCAATTTGTGGGTTGATTTTTATGCAAAAAAATCTCCACAGACATATTTCGAAAACCAGTAACACAAAGGCCGGAAGGTGTACTGACCAACAAATTAAGCATTAAATCTTACCTCTTCGCCCCCCTGCACCCCATCGTCCGTGGTCGTCACGAGTGGCTCCTCGTCTTCAAAATTCTCCACCGTTTGCAGCAAGAGGTTCATCTTATCCGTCATAATGCCACAGTTTGCCTCCACCTCGGCAGAAACGGAGGAAGACGCAGTCGTCCCAATGCTCGCCACCAATTTTTTCACCGCCTCGCACAATTGTCTGCAGAAAACAGAAACATGACCATTTTATTCAACAAAGCTGAAAATCCTCCTCCTCCTCTTTTGTAATCGTGCCCAATCTCTCAAATCTTTTGATCCCTGGCTTTGTTCTTCCAACAAAATCAGATCAAAATCAACTACGACGTACAACTCTGTATAAAAAGGGGGAAAATCAAAGCAAAAAGTGAGCACGGGAGTGGGCACACTTTTTTTAAAAAAAGGAGAGCAGCAGTGTAACAAAAGACCAAAGCGTGCACAAACAACAAGAATCTCTAATTTCAAGAGTGAGTGGGCACCCTCCTGCCTACCTTTCACCTCAAAAAGAGAAAGCGTTTTCTCTCTCTCTTTCTCTCTTTGAGATGTAGTCAAAACGATGAACGTAACTGCACCCAAATGCCCAATGTAACAACAACCCTCTCAAAAACTCGACTCAATTTCATTACCCAACGAGACTCGTAGTAGTTTTGTCAAGTATTCAGTCATCTCATTTCATCTCATCTTTCCCTCTGAGCCCTTTTCTGCCTTCTCTTTGCAATGTCAAACCATGGGATCAAGGCCAACAGAAAAATTGAATCAGGTGCAATCTCTCGCTAAAAATACTACGCGAAGCCAACCTACCGAAGGACACGGAAAGGACACAAAAATGAGAAAAGTTACACAACAACTATGTTATATACATACATACCGGTGAAATAATAATAATCATGCTCATAATAATAAATGCTGTGTAAATGAATACATAAAAGTGCCCTTTTTCCAATTTAATAAAGAATGCGATACAAAAAAATAAGCCTATTTTTACCCTCACGAGTCCCAATTGACGCCATTCTTCGAAACGGTATTATTATTTTCCTTCGAGAAGGTCTAAACTGATTGCCACCTTCACCCTGAATTTGTTTTCAAGGGGAAATTTCACCTCATTGGTTGCCCTTTTGCCCCCTCACGGGCATGAATTACAGTTATGCGAATTCACACCCGTGTGGGCAGGATGGAATTTTACAATAAATGCGAACGACTCGAAATTGTTTTCTATTTCTGGGAAATAAAGTAATGAAAAAAGTTGGAAAATTTGCAATTTCGATGAAAATGTACCTGCCCGACTCGAGGGCCTCTTCACGGTTGAGATTGGGCTTGGAGACTGCCCTCAACTGCGTGACGATGGTGGTTTCGTACTGGGAGAGGAGGGCGGCTTCCTGCGGGGAGGGCGAGTGGGAGGAGGAGCGGCGTCGTGGACGAGAATTGTTCTCCTCGTCCTTCTCGTCCAGGGGACCCATCTCCTTCACAAAGCTGAGACGGGAGGAGGAATCTCGCTCGAAAATCAGAACGCCCCAACTGAAAAATACGATATTATTATTATTATTCGCAAATTTGCAATATGTAAATCTGTAATCCTTACCGATCCAACATTTTCGTCGTGGCTCGTTCATACCGAAGCAGAACGGTGGATAAGTGAGCATCATCCGGAAAGGAGGCGCCCCACCCGAGCACACGCGCTAAATCATTACCCGTCCCCAAGGGAAGGATTCCAATGTGACATTGTTTCTGCAATTCCAAAATAAAATATGGCGTCATGAAGCAATTGCATATTTAATTTATGTAAATTCTGAATGCTTTACATGTAAGCTGAGGCGATCGACTTCCGCCATGACCCAGCCGACACTCCCGTCCCCACCGCAGACAAGGATGCGAAAAGTTTGGAAATTTTTGAAGAGTTGTAACCCCAAGGTGGGTCCGTCGGTAAGGAGGTCGAAAACCTGAACAGGGTTGAGTAGCTGTTTAAATCGAGTGAGCAAAGAGAGCCCCTGGTTGTTCCCGGATTTGGAGTTGACGAAGACGAGGAGCGGGGAGGCGCCGCGGAGGGGTGGCGGTGCTAACCAGGACGCGTCAAAGTCCAGCCCGCGCAATGCCCAGGGGGGAACGACGGAGAGGAGGCGGGGACGACAGGAGGGAGGAACGCGACATTTGCAGACGTTGTGAGCCGTGGTGTCACACCAGAGACATTGCCAGTCTTGGAGACGTAAAACAGAGCCGCACCCTTTCGAACAGACGCGGCATTTCGAGGCCAAGGGCAGGTTCCCTTCCAGCCATTGGTGCGGCATGTTGACCTCCTGCAGAAAAAACGAAGCATACATTTTACTCAGCAATGTGATCAGATTTCAGGATTTTTTTCGGGCTCGAATTCATCACGATTCTGATTATCCCTAAATTTTATCCCTAATATTTAAAATCTACGTCTTTTACGAACCCACAAGAAAAAGATATTTCTATTTTTAGAAACAGTATTTTAATAAAAACGATATTTTACTAAACGCTAAAAATTGGAGATTTATTTTTGCCGGTAAAAATTAACGTGAATTAAATTAACTGAAACCTAACGTGAATTTAAAAAAAATTGGTTTTCAGTATTTTTGTGCTTATGACTTAAGATGCCAATTTTCCTACTATTTCCCAAACTCTACTTTCACCACGAGCTCAGCCAGTTAGGAAATATGTAATTCCCTTGGTCTTCTTACCCTGTCCTCATCGACGAAGGAGTATTTTTCCATGGTGGGAAAGCTGGTCCACTTGCACTCGACGGTCACTTGGATGGCGCACCTCTTGTGGGACTTCAACTTGCATATCTCACAACTCAAACCGGACGAAGCTACTGTGAAGAATTAAAACGATAAGCAAAAAAAGAGAGACAAAAAGACCACGAGTTAGTCATGCAGCCAATTTTGGGGAAAATGAGTCTTTTATGAAACTACTACCACAAAGTTGATCCCTGCAAACGTTGCAGTACGTGGGGAGCGTGTGGGACACCACCGACCAGTTGTGCGATGTCAGAAGCATGAATAACTTTTCCAACTCGACCTATAAAATAAGTACACAAATATCATTAACACGAATTTTGAACGTTTCATCAAAATTTCATGGGTGCCAATTTCGTCTTTTATTCATATTTTAATCAGGAAAATAAGTTGTACAACTGGGAAAATTGGGGAAAGACTAGTCCGCCAGCCAGCCAGCGAAGCGACTAACTTTCTCTAATTTTGGGGAGAACGACGTCTTAAATAATGGAGTGTTCTCTCACTGCACTGTTCTCTACTGCCTAAAGTCTATTGTTGGACGTGTATGCTCTGTAATTTCTCAGTCGTCCAATTCGAGGAGGAGAAAGTTGACCTTCTTGCTATCCTCCTCTCACAAATCCTACTCCTCTGAACGTGCACGATGTATGCAGTCTTATTCGAAACCAAACAATCGCAATTTGGTTACCAATCACGTCTTCCAGTCCGGATTACGAGATTACGGGGCCAAGGAAGACAAAGAATACTTTCACTTTTCGAATTTTGGGACAAAATCTTGGTTTAATTAATGAAACGAATTTTTCTGAAATTCTGTTTAATATTAAATTATATTTGGATTTCTTAATTCGGTTTTCTCCCTAATTTGTCACAAATTACGTGGTAAGTTTTTTTTCATATGATTCTATATATGTACATAATCCGTACAACAGAAGTGAGAAAGGGAATACTTTCACTTTTGGAATTTCGGGATGAAATTCTTGTAACAAGTTGAAATGAAACGGGATCTCTTGAAATTCTGTATAGCCCTGAATTACTAGGTATTAATATTTTTGGGTAATGTGACACACTGCTTGGAAATAGGATTTTTGTGCATAATTCGTAGAATATCTTTCTGCACAAAAATGGTATAACTTTATCATGACAAACGAAGCGGGTGTTGGCTGACCTGATTTAACGCTTTCTTCTCAGATGCTGCTTTGATCGCTTTGGTCCAAGAAATCATATCTGATCTCTTCTCCGTCCCGAGGTGCAACGTCCGATGAGGCGTGATCACCTGCACAAATAAAACCAAACTCATGAAAAATCAACCTCACGAAACTTTCACTGAGTCAAATTCTCAGAAAAAATTCCGAACACGTCATCCAAGTCGTCGTCGTCATCTCTCTCTCCTCGCAAGCCACGAGGGTGTCGTTCAAACCGTCCCATCTCCTCCTTAAGAAGCATAGTCTCCAAAAATATCCAAAATGTCATCAAAGTAAAGGTGACCGAGAGACGTAGCAATTTATGGGATAACAACAACGTCATTTTTGTCTTTCTCTCCATTTCCGCGGTTAGTTAAGCCGTCCCGGAAGGGAAAGGAAATCCGAAACCGGAGGAGGAAGTGGAAGAATAAGACGGCGCAGCAAAACAATTTTCTACGAGGAAGATGTGCACCAGCAGCAGACTCACATAAATAGAACAAGAGAGTAGGACTCGACTCTATTATCTGCAGCTCCATCCTCGTAAACGTAAAGTCTTTACGTAAATGGTAATAAAAAACTAAATAGTTGACCCCTGTTCATTACTTGGGATGGAATGTTTCCAAATGAATGAAGGCGAGCAGAGTGAAACGATCTCCTCTTGGCAATAAAGTATATATCCGTACTTGCCAATCTACTACTTTCCTCCTTCCCAGCTCAACTAGGGAAGAAGGAAGGCTGCACCACTTGCCAATACCACATTTTTGATGCACCTTGGAACAATGGAACCTAGCGCATGCAACGATTTTGGGCAAATTAGTGTCACTCGATCGCAAATTCGATTATTACATGTGACATTTGCAAAAGGCACGATCTCCAAATGTTCCGGTCACTGGATTAGTAGAGATATTTGCATCCAAAGAAGTGAAAACTTGAAAAATTTTACACTTTCCAAATTTACTGCGCGTTTTCTTCACATCGAATGCAAATAACTCTGCCAAACTGGCGAATTTGGAGATCGTTCCTTTTGCAAATTTCATGTTCATTAAATTTATGATGGGTTGAGTTTGGTCAAAACCGGAGCGTATGCGCCCACCACTCAAAGGGGCGAAAAAGATTTTTTCTAGTTCAAACCTTCACCAAAACTTTAGGATTTTGATTTTGGCGAGTGGTGAAGCTGTCCTGGGCTGAGCTGGGCGGAGGGAGACGGAGGAAGTGGGATATATCCCATCTAATAATGGGAAGGATGATCCCATTCCGGGTAAAAGGCTGCTGCTTTCTCTCGCATACAAAAAGAGAAAGTGCGACGAGTTCCACGTACCAGAAAATCTCTCCTTTGAAAGGAAGTAATTCGGACTAATTTCCCCAAAATCTGCGGGGGATGCGAGCAGAATGTTTAGGTTTCTTGCTACACGAAGGAGGATGGTGGGTGGCTACAGGAATTGTCCTTTTCTTCCTCGGCCGAGAGGTTAACTTTCCTCCAAGGAGATCCGTATCGATTGATGGTCAGTTCTTAATTAAGTGAACGGAACCAAGGAGAGGCAAATCAAGTATTTAGCACGACCAGTGTCACCCATTAAGGGGAATTATGGCTTCATTAAATTTAAATTTCAACCCATATTTTATCCCTGAGCGAATTATTTGCACAGTTGCGGAACGACAAAAGCCAACTGAGGGAACAAAGGAATTGTACATATTTGCTAAATCTGGTCCCACTTCCTCTGCCCCAGTTTACACATGGATTAACAGCATACCTACGTACGTACGTACATACATACACGCTAAATAATGTGGTCACAGAAAGGGAACCCGATTAACGAGCTTGGTATTGGCAAAGTGATGACAAAAACTAGCCCAGAAATTTAAAACTGAGACAGAACAGTGATTCCAAGCAGAAGCGAATTTAAACTTCTGAGCTAATTATCGCCACCACGCTATTTTAGCACATTATTTGCACAGTCTTATATCCTCTTAGGTATCTCATTTCTTCCCAATTTATGCAGCAGTTCTAAAAATATTTCACTTGTCAAGCTTGTCCATACAAATGTACATACTTCTCTTTTTTGCTGGAGCGGAATATGTCCGACTTTCAAGTGAGACGATTTGTTTCTCTTTTCCCAGAAAGCAAGGTCACTTTAAATAATTGAGTAGCACGGAGTTACATAAGCAGCGTCATACTCCACTGCCACTTTGCAACCCGTGCTTGCCCCCAGTCTTTTGCATAGAGGAACGAGACGTGTACATGTGTCTCGTGGTGGGCAAAGGGAGAGAGGAGTGGATAATTGGGTTGCTGCTTTCTCCTCCCAGAGAAAAAGAGAAAGTAAGTCTGCCTGCCTGCCCACCTCTCACTTTTCGCATCATTTACGAGTCCACATTTTTTTATTTACTTTCCCTTCTCTCTCCTCAATGTGACCATCTCTGTGTGCATCCATATTGCGATCTACATCAGATGAGCGCATTAAAAACATCCATGCACGTAGCCGTTTACGGAAGTCGGACAGTTTGGCGAAACCCCTTTTGGTGAACAAAATTCGCCAAACAAGAATCCCCTTTGCTGGAAAAAATAACCCATTCTACGACAAGGTCTTTAAAGTACAATTTGGCGAAAAAAATGAGTGAATATATTTCACGAAATGTGGTTTTAGGAGATTCCCATTTTCGCCAAATGTAACAATAATTTTGCAATCCGGTACTTTAAGGATGATTTTCTTTTTCGTTTTGGCGAAAATTTATTATCGCCAAATCGTCTTTACAGGTGAGTGAGAGGATGGTTTCCTCGCTACGGGCGTCATTCTCTGATTATCTAACTCCTCACTTTCTAAATACGTATCTCTTTTTCCCAGAATCGCACTTGTTCCACCACCCACGTTGCCTCCTGAAGCCCTGATTTCGAACAGGTATGAAATCCAGTCCATTTGAAAGTGGAATTGGCTAATTTATTATTCCGTTTGAAAAGGTTTACCCGCTTTCTCTCACATTTCGAAGAAAGAGTGAGTGACATTTATTAACAGGAGAGTGATTATCTTGCATAAGTCGGATTCAATCCACGAACCAAAAATGCTGAAAATTTCCACGGAAAGAGAGAAAAACTAATCAAAAAGTTTTTCTACCCAATTTCGTCCTCTTATTCTGCTTTTCTGATTAATTTCTAGCAAAAATCACCATTTTTCCACGTGTAAAATGAATCAAAATGCAAAACCGATCACGCCACAGGATCCTTTAAGTGCAAAAGCGGCACGATTTAAAATCTAGGAAACTATTATCTCCTTTTAAAAAAATGACACAATTACACACTTGCTCCAAAATTTATGCATGTATTTACGTTTTGCATGCATGAAATTACCCTTGCCAATAATAATGATCTCTCATCTTCTCGCAGTTCAATGCATTTTGCTCCACTAAACTAAACTAAACTGCATGCAGGGAAGGAAGGCGACCTACAAAAAATGCACATGACACTGGTCGCCTCCAGCCATGTACATAGTTCCACACATAGCAAACTAATGGATGGAAGAACAGAACACCATCCAATCCAATCCACCAACAACATTCTATTATTGGCAACGTCTCCAATTTCTCCACACATCACAGGACACGCTTCCCGACCCACACGGCGACACAAACCAGGGTTGAGTTACCCACCTCTGCCAGCCAAGTTGGACAACTCCTCATTTTCGACAAGTTCGACATTAATTACCACGCTTGTGGCATTGCAGTTTTGCGATAAGTTCAACCTTCCTTGGTTGGTCCAACGGTTGGCAGTTTTTGTCCCATGTGCGCCCATGTTTGTCGGGTTGGTCGAATGGATATCATAATATCTCATCTCGTACTTATCTTCCTTGTTGGTTGGTATGCTTGGCTCAGGCTCAAGTCAAACATCGCCGCGAGTAGAGGAGGAGGAGGCCGTAATAAAATAAAATATCTCGACAGATTTACGGCATCCTTTTCCCTTTCCCTTTCCTTTCCCACTTTCAACAATATGAAACAACAAAGCATCTCCAGTTTCATCTTCTCTCTTATGACCCACAAAATATCCACGATTCTGCACAATTCTTATCTCCATATGCAAAAATATCGTCGTGTCTCCCACAGTGGAACAGAGGTTTAAAAAAGTTGTGTATATTGTTCCCCAATTTCTCTCGAATTAAGAAAACTATGATAATTTTTAAGCCTCTATCCTCATGCATGACCAATTTTCTTGCCACTATCTACGTGGCAGGGATTCTAATAAACGGCTCATCCCCAACTCGCATGCAGCATTATTTTCTTCATCATAATGACAAGGACGATAAGACACCTTTTCCCTAAAAAAATCCAATCTATACCGTCCTCGAATTGGTGGAGATGAGGGTTCACAAGGAAAAAAAGTGGACAAGTTCCAAGAAAATGAGATCAACTTATCGCAGGCAGGCAACTTATTGACTCATCTTCTTCTTATCTCTGAGTACGTGACGACGACGAAGAATCAGCGTCTGCCTGCCTCCTCTTCATCTCGACTAATTAAAGGTAAGGGGCTCCTCTTCCACTCGACTTTCTCTCTCTCTCTCGCTCAATTAAGGAAGAAAATTTCGCACTTGGCCAGCTCGCAAAAAAATAAAACTAGCAAAAAAAAGGTCTATTTCTTGACCAGGTTTTCCTCCTCACCTTTGTAATAAAAATAACAGGAGTGAAATTCAATGTACGCACCGGACGGCACGTAAGCTTGGTTAACGAGAAGGCTAAAAATACACGATCTCTCATCTTCTTAACGGGAAAGGTTTCTTGGGAGAAAGCTAAAATCATTTATTGCTGCCTACCTACTTATACGACCTTTTGTTGTCCAGACTGGAAGAATTTTACAGGTTTCCTCGTCGCAAATATGTTCACTCACTATCGGACGGCAAAATAGCCGTATTTTTAACTCCATAATACTCAATCGAATTCAATTGACGCAAATCTAGAGAGCAAACTGATGGACTCAAACGTATTCAGATTTCTCTCCTTCTTACTGGGAATTTATGCCCGTTTTTTAAAAATAATTTCTTTCATGTACAAGATAAAAGGGAATGATGAATTGCTACTTTGTGAAATGTATGAGATATTGCAAAAAATGGGG